CCACCTCCAGATGCGGGATTTTCTCGCTGTGTATAAGACCTATTGGTGGTCTTGAGCTGTTTTCTGCTCTTTGGTCGAGGTGTTGTCTCATTGACACATTCCCCGTTTCCATTCTCAATTTTATTTAAATCAAGACCTGTGATACCTAAATATGGTTGAATCAGTTTACGTATCATTACATATAAAAATACGGAGATGTGGTATGATTGCCAATGAGACAACTATCCACCAAAATTCATATAAAGTGGATGTAAGCAACTATAGGCAACCGCACGGCCTTCAACAATGAGAAAAACCCATACCGTATAGTCGGCTATAAAAGGCCCCGACATGAAAAATATGAAACTATTCAATTGAGAAAATTAACGGCCTAATTTATAACAAAAAAATTTACGAAAATCAAATATGACAGACATGAACCAACGACAACCACTGAACTACAGGCTCCTGACTTGGGACAGGCACATAAGGAATGTGGCGGGGTTAAACATGTTTGTGAGCGCTCAACCCTCCCCTAACCTGGGACAGTGGTGTAACAGCACAACATAAGATCAAACTATAAAAATCAGTTGAAATAGGCTTAACTCATCAGATCGATACAAAGCAGAAAAATATCAAACAAAAACACAGAAAATTAAAATAAATAAATAACTAAATCATCACGTCTCACTGCTGCAGCATTTAGGAGACTTTTTTTCTACATTCTGTTGCTATTCTTAAAATTTCAGCAAAAAAAAATGTGCAGGTAATGTATTTCTTAGTTTCTTTTGTTACCTATTCTAACAACGGACTCGGACTTCTTTTAAACTGAGTTTTGCTGTGCGTATTGCTGTGTGTTTGCTTATTCTTCATTGGCTAGAGGTATAGGGGCGGGTTGAAATCTTACAAAGCATGTTTAACCCCGCCGCATTTTTGCGCCTGTCCCAAGTCAGGAACCCCTGGCCTTCGTTAGTCTTGTATGTTTTTTTAATTTTTGTTCATTTATATGTTTCGGAGTTTAGTGTGACGTCAATTTTCTCTGAACCAGTACACATTTTTGTTTAGGTGTCAGCTGAAGCCCGTCTCCGAGTGCGGGATTTTCTCGCTGTGTGGAGGACCCATTGGTGGCCTTGGACTGTTTTATGCTCTTTGGTCGGGTTGTTGTCTCTTTGACACATTCCCCGTTTCCATTCTCAATTTTATTTGTCAACTCCAACTTCAGAGCACATTTTCTTGGCATAGGACAGAGCCAGTTTTAACGAACTAGTGTAATTGTCCTTTTACTTGAATATCCAACAGATCGAATACATCAGAAAACCAACACACCCTACAATAATTGTCTCTTTCACGGTTAAATTCAACAAACACGACTAAACAACAATACCTAAAAAAATAAATAAATCGCAAAGCTTTAGAAATTCTAAAGTAATCAAGAAATACGCGTGATAATAACTTCAAATGACCATCGCAAAATTGCCTAATGTGGGCTTATAACTAGAAATCAGAACAGTGTCGGTTCATGTGTGACAAATATCCGGAATTGAAATTTCATAAAATGCAGATGTTTAACCAATTATATTACTTATTACTAATTTTCTTCAAAAAGTAAATCGGGTCGATTGAAGTATTAAACGACGGCTTTAACATGTTTAAGGCTGTACCTTTAAAATACACATTTATTGCACGTGCAAATAATTCTAAGTGAAAAACAGTGACTTTTTTGTGTTTTCTTTCCACCATTTTCAGATGATCTTGTGCTTTAAATATATCAGTTATTAAAAATGCCCTTATAATGTATGAAGTTCAAGGGCAACCATATTAACCAATTTAGTTCACAAATCATGTTTAGAACAGGGTTAATTATGAGATAAGTCTATCGAAACAGTAGTGTAGTCTTCGATGACAGTTGGGTAACGTCAGTTTAGGTCGTTTTTAACGTCATTGGCATCACATTTGACATTTACGACAAATATTTTTTTGAAGTTGACTAATCGATAGACATTTTAGGACATTAATATTCCATGAAGTATTTAGGTAATCTAAACTCGTTAACTAAGTGTCTTTTTCAACATTCGCCGCTCTACTACAATGACTTTAAATCATATAATAAATTTTAAATGGTATTTTGTTTTTAAACACTGCGTCATTTTGATATAGCATTTCACTCGAAAATGATAGCCACTCATTCTAAACATGGGATTTAAATCATTCTTTCTTTCAAATAAAACCTCTGATTGGTTGATGTCTATATATGTATATATCATTGTTTTGTTAAATTTCAAGAGTTTTGATAGCAACAGGACATATGCTGTCTGTTCGATATGTCCAACAATTGCTTTGAACTATAACTCACATAGTCAAGATGAAATTTCACGTCGCTATTTTGATAGTTTTTTCCGCAGTTGGACTACAAGGTAAGAATATGTTGTGACGTCTAATATGAGGGTCTAGATTGGATTTACAGAATAGGTTCCCCCATCCAGACCGTCTAATATAATGAGTAGCAAAATATGAATCAAAGAAGATGTAGGAAATGTTATTAAGACAGCTCACCCAAACGAAAAAAAAAACCCAACAAAGAACATCTACAGGCAAGGTCGTCGTCGTATTTTTATGTTAAATACAACAGAATCGTCATTCAAAGTTACATTATCTAATTGTTTGAAATATGACAACATTTTCCATCAATTTAACATTATTATGTTTGCTTTATTTTAACAAAATTGATAATAATTTTATCAAGTTATATTCTCTTTTGACTGATGCCTGTTATCCATGTTCCGTATGAAGTGATATTTCCCGTTTCACACTGAACGGGAGTGTATTATGAATAAGTGATACAAAAAATGTGTCAATATGATTAGCCTTTCATGCAATGTGCTTCGAAATTGCCATATTTCCAGTGGCAATTTTTAGGTCAATGATGACCTTCAAAGGGGTATTTGTGATTTCTTCAATAATATACCAACCAATCACGGGTTTCATTTGAAAATATTTGTTTTGTTCAATTGATTCCATTCCGAAACGTACAAAAAGCATGAAAACGTTTGACTTTAGAGTCTTCTGGGTTTCTGACATAATATTCTTAATACCATAATCGGACTGATATTTATATAGTGTACCTTGCGAAATCGAAAATATTTACGTGCTATCCGTGACAATGTTAAGACAATGCATAGAAAAAACAGACGATGAGCTTGATATAACTATTGATTTCATAATTTCATAATTGTAGCATAAAAATGTATTTATACGAATTGAATGCTTCTTTTTATAACTTTTTATGATTGTAAAAGCGTTGATCGAGCACACATCTTTAATATGAAGCGAAAGTTCTTCGGTCAACGCTTTTACACCACAATAATATTATAAAAAGAAGCATTCAATTCTTTTAAAGTGAATGACCACTTAGTTTTAGGCGAACATAAGGATGTGACAGATAATGCAGGTCCGTAGTCGACATCAAAATGAACTTTGATGCTGACGCAATAATGCTACATAGAATACAAAAGTTGTAATAAGTTAGTTAACATTATGAAACATAGAAGAACGATCAAGGACAACTAAGCAAACATAATGAAATCAATACAGTAATACACCACTTTATATACTGATCCATTTATTTGCGATTCAAATCGATAGACCAACAAACACAATTTTACCTGTTCATTCATACATTGAAAACAAGGTTATTATTAATAATTGTATTATCAATTGAAAAATAGCAGAAATATGATTTAGTATTCAAACATGGAAAAACAGTTTTAAGTACATATTCAGTCAAAATATCACCACTGGAATAAAGGTAAAAAAAAAACTAGAGAAGAAATGCACAATTTCTTGTGGAAGGTAAAACGTATACTTCGTATGCTATTTATCATATCCAAAGGATTTGTTACACTATACTTTAAGGGCATGTGGTGCAACTGACAATGCGTATGACTACGGATTCATGGTTCGAATCCCGGCAGACTCGGAAAGATTTTTGTCAATGCTTTTTAACACACCCTTTTGGAGCAAGTATATAACGAAAATTTTGAAAATGCATTAAAAAGAAATGTCTGAACAGATTAGAAAGCAACCAAACGTCGGAAAGTCAGAAACCAGGTTTTTGTTAAATGTTTTATTGGCACATATATATATATATATATATGTCAACTTGTGACTGCATGCCAATAAGCTTTTTTTTAGACATGTTATGAGGATATAACAAATATAATATCCTCTCCGGGAGGACATCAAATCCTGATCTCCCGCGTTACAGGCGGGGACACTAAAAAATATACTAGAGGACTTGAAGATATGCGCACAGTTTGTTAAAAGTAAAAATTTAGAAATTTACAACAACAATACCAGAAAAGCTAGTTTTTTCCGCCTCCCTAAACTGAGAGAAATAAATGTGCTTCATATCAAATACTAGTAGGAGAGTTATTTGTTGAAAAAGTTTGATTTCGTGACTTATACATATACGAATGTAAAAGGTTATGCAAGCTATCAATGTAGACAACACGAAAAGTCAAAGGTTCACATCCAATAGGAGCCGATGTTTGTTTATCAAATTATTGGGAGGATTTATGAACATTGTACATTTAAGGACAATAGTCTTAAAATATAATCGAACAAAATGCTAGCCGTCATAGAAACGTTTCATATCAAAGCTTACAAATATACATTGCTGTCTGCTTTTCAGGACGCACTGGCTCTATAGTTGCTATTAAATTAAAGCAATTGAGATCATGGCTATCACCCGTTTTGTGTTCCTAGGTATTTTAACATTTCCAACGAAATTTAAGAGCATGAAGTTATAAGCAATGGCTTTTCTAAATACCTGTTGAAATTTGAAAATGTTTTTTGCATTGTAGATTGATTTGGCTGGATGAAAACCATTTCTATATTTACACAGAATTTTTTGTTATAATTCATGTTATATTTTGATATTAAAATATACATTCATTCATTCATTCCTAGGAATAATTTATGGTAAGCCAATGTACAAAAACCATGTCATTCTTATTTTTCAGCATTAAGAGAAAACGTGGCTCTTAATAAAATTGCAAAACAAAGTTCAACATATAACTACAGGGTATATTTTTGGCCAGCGACCCTCGCAGTTGATGGTAATAGGAACCAATATCCATATAATATGGCTGTGGGACAATGTGCACACACATTGATGAATAAGGCAATAAACTGGTGGGCAGTTGATCTTGGAAATGAGTTTGATATTACCGACCTCAAGATCTACAACCGACAAGACTGTTGTAGTAAGTCTTCTTATTTTTTTTAAACATTAAACCATTGTCAATCTTTTAAAAAACTGAAATTAAATCTTTAAAAAATGTTAAAGTCCCACCGTTTCATGCGTCGATTCTAACACAACGATGTCGTTTTTTTTTTTTAATCATATAAACAAACAACAAATGGTTAAAGATATATAATTTTCATAAATTTTTGGCAATGTTGAGTATTGATAATATATGATATCGGGGCACATTTTAATCAAACTCACTGAGACTCCCTAACTTTAAATTTTCCTAAGTTTGATGAACTTTCCGAATTTGACCATATATGTTAACAAAAAACCTGATATTGAATTGGGAAAATTTTTACTTGCACTTTGATATACTCCAAAAAAACTTTATGCATGCTCTTTTTTCATAGGTGATCGTTTGACGAATTTCTTCATTTATATTTACAATCCGACTCTAGCAACATGGGAAGGTTTTGACCAGGAAGGGGTACAACTCTGTTATCATTATGTAGATACGGCTCCAAGTATACTCAATGTTGCCTGCACATCAAGCATACGAGGACGATACGTCAAGATAACTTAGGAACACCGAGAACATCCAAAAGGAAATGCACTAACTTTGTGCGAAGTTGAAATTTTCATTGACAATAATCCTAATGAAGGTAAAGCAATATTAACCTTGTTTTATTCAAAGTATCAAATCATGTAATACTTTTAACTCCTTAAATTCTAAAAATTTCCAAAATAACAAATACAGTGATAAATTATGTAGATACGGCTCCAAGTATACTCAATGTTGCCTGCACATCAAGCATACGAGGACGATACGTCAAGATATCTAAGGAACACCGAGAACATCCAAAAGGAAATGCACTAAATTTGTGCGAAGTTGAAATTTTCATTGACAATAATCCTAATGAAGGTAAAGCAATATTATGAATATAAACCTTCTTTTATTCAAAGTATCAAATCATGTAATACTTTTAACTCCTTAAATTCTAAAAATCTCCAAAATAACAAATACAGTGATAAATTAAACACTATAGATGAACAGATATACCATTAACGTCTCAACAAAGTGAGTAAATGAGAATCAACGTTGGTTTTATTCCATCTTTAATATACCGAGGAACCAAGGAAACCGCGTAAACTAAAAAAGATGACAGACTGGTGGCGTCTACAAGGTAAAAAACTCAACAAAGATACCAGGCTTAAAATAAAAGAAGCCAGTCGCAAAGACCTGACTCATCGGTGGCGCTAGAATCAAAACACATGAAAGCCCAAAAAAACACAAAGTTGAAGAGCATTAGAAACAGAAAATTCCAAAAAGTTGTACAAAATTACCCGCAAGGTAAATCCATCCTCAGTCAATATGTCAATATAGAGAATAGAACACAATCGGTAAATTTACATAATTAAGACGACTTTAATTTAACTAGTATCTCAAGATATCCGCGACGACATGTATCTCGTTAGTTGATCATGAGGTCAAGCAATTCGTAATGGTAACCATAAAACATTTGTATTGCCGTTTTCAGTCGATCTTCCTCATAATCCTGATGGAGCATATTTGACGAAAGAAATAAAAAAAAAACATCTATAATGGTAAATTAATTGATACAAGCTTGATTTATTTTTCGTATAGACATAATTATTGTACGTGTTTCGTTATATGTCATTATATATGGAACCACGTTTCTCTAATTTTTGTGCTATTTTCTCATTTCTTGAACGGTGTGAGAAAAATATTTCTCCTCACTAGTGAAATATCTGTTCTCGAAAAATGATTGGTCGAAACTTAATTATGACGTCAAATTTTCATGGTTTCTTCTGAATTTCCTATTGTGACGTCATGAAAAAAGGCGACCATGCCTGATGACGTCACATATAAAGAACACAACTTTCTGCAAATCTTTGAAAAAGGAAGGATAAAAATCATTGGAGAAACAGATTCCACCACTATAACTTGTGTATTACGATATTTCTCCACTCTCAAAGTGGAATCTATATTTCTGTTTACATCTGTAAATGCATATGTCAGTATTATAGCATGTAATAAAGAAAATTGTGTGTCACATAGGTTCATACTGCAAGAAGACAAACAGACAAGGCTTTAAAAGTCTTGACAAAAATATGAACACAGTGTCACTTACGGAATGTGTCCTTTTCTGCAGACGAACCGAAAGTTGTCTTGGGTTAAATATGACGACAGATGGCACTTGTTCCCTGTTTGGAGCTAGCAAGGAGGTTTCCAATGGAGCCAGTGACACTTCTTACTTCGAAAGATGTTGATTTGTCAAGCATTTGTATTATAATGAATGAAATGTGTGCATATCCTTTTCTGACGTTAAATATTTATTCTATATATTCGATCTAATTGATTTGCAAATAACATAAAACAGAGGAAAGAGATTTTCCTTGTAGAATATCAGATAAGTAAAAAATCTTTAGGTAGAGATACATTGTTGGCATGATTTTTTGTTTGTTTATTATTTCTTAATGAAGTTGAAACTAAATTTTGTGCCATTGAAACTATTGCATTAAATTGAATATATATCAGAGACGTATGGAAAATTCATACATACTGCGGGAAATGAAAAGGCTCATCGGATTTTTGAAATATTTGTTTGTAGGATCAATCAATAAATCCTCAAACTTCACATATTTTCAACCCATGAATAATTTCAACTAATTGAATATGCCATTGAATAAAAAGATATGTAAGCATATACGTCAATAACAGCAATTAAAATACATTTCACTATAATTTAGCTTTTTTTTCAATAATCTTTCTTTTATGTTTGAGATTTGTAAAATCTAAAACTACTACAGTTATGATACATTTATTGACATGTATGTTAAAAATATAACATAATTTTGTTAGAACCTGGCATTACAAGCTGTGAATATGAAGATTCAAGAACGTAATTGAAAAATCAATTGGTAGAACAAATCCAGTGGAAAATTACCGTAAACTATTTTTACTTAAACAAACAGCAATTAGAATTTTGCGTAACAATCAGCAAAGGGAAGGGCAATCTCAAACATTCTGTAACATAAGATACTAGATCTCAACATCTGTCTAATTTAAATTCTAAATTCAAAAATTTTTCAAGGTTATCTGATGAAATGAAATTTGTTTGGATTCTTTCATCTGAAGATTTGTTTGTTACTTCAAACTTATCTAATTTATTGCACTCCCTTTTTGAAGAACGAAAGAAACTCTTCGAAAATATCAATGTAGTTTGAGAAAATAGAGAAAACAAATATGTATGTCATAAAATCGATCAGGAGTTGTCTCCCATAGACCTAGGACTATAAAATTATGTAATTTTTCTAGGTCACAGTGGCACCCAAAATAACTTTATGTTTTGTCAATAACATGGTTTATAATCATGTTACTTTGTTTGAATGTGTATTCATGTTTTTAGTTTAAATGTACTTTAATCATTCTAATCATTCTAATCATTTACTGTGCTTTATTTTGTAATTCATTTGATTGTATAGCTCAAATTTTGGGCACCATGATTGGTTAATAAAATTATCTTATTTTGTATTATCTTATAGTCACTCTTTAAACTTTATCGCTTCACCAACATATATTATATAGCATCAGTTTGGTTGGTCGGATGATTTATTGAATTGAAATTTTAAGATAAGCAAATTTGTTTCAGAGCTTTGGTTCAATTGTGGCAGATATCTTTATTTGTCCATTAAATTATTAAAGTACTATACATGTATTTTTGTTTTATATTTTTACAACAAAACTAACGCAACTGTTGTTTGTCTGGTAAAGTCGACCGATGATGGCTAATTTGATAACGTCATATTTAATTATAGCTGTATTTATGCATTTTTCTTCGCAAATTAAGCTCAGAGTTTTCCCGATGAGGCGTTTAATCTTTGAAAGAAAGTCTACTGTCCTTCATTAGTCAAAAGGATAAGACCACAAATACATGTCTCTTTCCCTTGTTTCGTATACTAAATTCTGCATTTCAGAAGTTTTTGTCTTTTCTTTAAAGATTAACTAAGATCTCAGCAATATTCAATGCAAACAGTGTCTTGATGAACAAGTCCTTCAGGAAATTAACAAAAAGTAAAATAACAAAAATACTGAACTCCAAGGAAAATTCAAATCAGAAAGTCCCTTATCAAATGGAAATATCAAAAGCTCAAACACATCAAACGAATGGAAAGCAACTGTCATATTCCTGACCTGATACAGGCATTTCCTTATGTAGAAAATGATAGATTAAACCTGGTTTTATAGCTAGCCAAACCTCTCACTTGTATGACAGTCGCATAAAATTCAATCATATTGACAACAATGTGTGAACAAAACAAACAGACTTAATAGGTAAAAATGTCAAAAATAGGGGTACAGCAGTCAACATTGTGTTATAATCTTAATCACTATAAAAACAAACAAATATGTCAACAAAGAAAAACAAAATGGCATATAGACAAAGCACATAAGCAAAAATGAAAGACAAGAATACAAAAAATGACCACAGCACAACAACAAAATGGCGGGAGTTCCGAGCCACGCAAAAATAAATATTACTAAAAAATGGACTAAACAGTAAAGGTTAATAATTTACAAAGACATATAAAAGAAAAGAACACTATAACACGTAATTAAGATGATAAACAACGTCAGTACCTAGAATATATACTTTCAGACCATCATGTATTATTTGTGAAGTTGATACGGAATATTATCAACAAGGTCTTGGTATGTTCCGATGAACTTTTTTAGGAAAAAGACAAGACGTTCTTTGACATAACTCTGGTTCATCAACCTTCTGCTCATACACTGGTGACGTTTTAAAAAGTCTGAGTAGCAGCTGCAAGCTCTTGAATATTGAATGAGTTGGGAAATGTATATCCCATATGCAGGTGGAGTTGGTATATTGCTACTAAGGTGGAGGAAATTGATAATTTCAAAATTAAAATCGTCTCGTTTGTCATAGATTCTGATACTTAGATGACCGTTTATGTCAAATTCGAGGTATAAGTCTAAAAATGAGGCGGAGGTAGCCGTGTCTGTTGTTTTTTTAATTTCTAGTTCTGGAGGATATATTAATGGAACCCAATCAGAAAAGTTTGGATTGTTGATGGAAAGAACATCATCAATATATCTCAATGTGAAATTAAATTATCTGGCTTCTTTGATCTTCTTGTTTTTGAAAAGTGTCTAAAGGAACTCCGATTCATATGAAAATAAGAAGAGGTCGGCAAGGAGAGGCGCATAGTTCGTTCCCATAGGAATGCCGACAATTTGTTGAAAAAGTCTATTCCAAATTCATTGTGGATTATTTCTTTTAGACGATTTTTCAATTTCATATGTAGAATGGTGGTATACAGCATTACCAAAAATCAAAGTTTTGATAGAATTAATTTCAGAGAAAGGTCGAGATTTAAAATCATCCAGAAGTTCTTTAGAGTTTTTTAGAATCCACATATGGTTAATACCACTACGCGAGTAAACAGTTTCACAGTATTTCTGAAGACCCACTTTCACTGCGGACAGAATTTTTGTCAATCTAATGGACATTTCCTTTGTAGAACATGCAAATGAGCCGGCAATGTACCGTTGTTTGTATGGAATTTTGTGAAGCTTAGGTATCCAATACAAACAAGGTAAGTCCTCAGAAATTTCATTGAAGCCATGAAGGACTTATAATTCGCCAAAATCTCATCCTTGTCAAATGATATGTTTTTGTATGTGGGATTACCTGAGTGCTCATTTATTCCTAATATTTTTACAAGACACTCGTAGTAGTACGATTTACATACAAAGACAATATTATTTGAAGCTTTGTCCGCAGGAAGAAAAACATATTTATCGTGAAGAGATGATAGACATTTCACAGCTTCTTTGTCTCTGAAAACGGACTTTGGTCGATCATTCACACAGTTTTTCAACTTATAAATTCGACGTTTTGTCAGAGACCTGATTGTTTTGACCCATTCTGACAAAGTGTCCAGTTTAACTTCTTCTCGTTTAGCCCGTGCTTTGGCGTAGTCCTTAATGGAATCCATAATTATTTTAAAGTTATGGTTCCAATTAATGTGGTGGGTTTCTCTAAACCTAGGACCATGAGATATCACCTTTCGGAGATGTTCATGTTGAATTATGTTTAGATCCCCAGTAATAACATGGCCAGAGGGCTGTAAATATATGGCGAGTGGGAACAGTCACATGTCACAGGGTTTTTTAAGTATTCTTCTAAATCAAGGTCCCGCAATGCTTGCTTATAGTTAAATACTTCAGGTGCAATGGTTTTGTTGTAACTGTAGGATACAATAGGAACCGACTGATTTTGAAAAAAGGTGGAATTTTAGATGTTACCTCCTTGTGATGAAGAACGTTGCTGATGTTGATCGCATCAATTCCTTTATTAGAAAACTGAACTGGAAGGAATTTCCTCTTTTCATCATGTAAAGGTTCCGATCTTACTGGTTTAAAAAGACGGAAAAGAGCTACATCACAAATTATACTGACCAGTCTGTATATTGGAGAAAATGTATTTACGCATCCCTTGTCAAGTGCATAGTCTCTCAAACATGTAAGAAAATTAACAGGCAGTGAAAAAAGAATAGTTCTAATGTAATGTAACCCTAGCGGATGATGAAGATGTGAAAGAAGGTCATCAAAGCTCCCAGGGAGATGCTTTTAAATGTTGACTGCTATCTTTGCTTCAAAGTATGGATTTAAAATCAATTATCTCATTTCACTAAATATCAAATATGTAATATGTGGACAGTGTCGACCTCGTTTTTGCATTGTTTACACAAATCTGCATGGGTCTACTCTGTTCATTTATCATTTACATATAACCATTGTAATGTTAAACAGGTCAGGAACACTACCTTATATGGATATGCATAAATTAGCATACTTATGTCCTCGCAAATATAATTCTTTCTTTACGTATGACGCTTTTTTTTAAACTGGGTTTTTGATTAATCCACTAAACGAGTAACAATGCATGATGGACTACTACGTGTTTAAGATCAACCGAGAACACGTATTATTTAATGAAATACAACACATTTTTTCATCCATTAAACAATTTCGTTTAGTTTTACATCTGTTGTATCAACATTTATATTCCGTGATATAAAGTATTCGTTCCATGCTCAGATTAACGAATATTTGTTTCAGTGCGAAGAAACGAGTGTTTGAATTACCCGACATATAGCCATTAATATTACCGATGATTAAACAAAGATTTCAGACGATTCGTCCACAAGACAGCAACAAAAAACAGTGAAAAAAACTATTACCCATAAAATAAACTTTCATACAGATAGTTAAAAAATAAGGAATCCTGGAATTTTTAGTGGGTTCTTAAAAAAGGGGAAAACTTTTAAAGATTGTGTCAAATATCTGTTGGGTCACTAAAATGTCCAAGGTTTTCACATAATTAATGTAATGATATTGTTCCTACTTTTTTTATGATTAAATAAGTCGTTTAAATCTAGGAAGGGTATGTATTTATTACTTTCTTATCCAAGAAACAAACTCAAACACCTTTCAGAAAGATTGGTTTTCCATTATCTTGAAAAGAGATCTTTACAATATAATTCTGTGCAATATTTCTATATTTGTAATTTGACAGGTACAGTACATGTATAAAACCTATACCAACTATCATAATTCATCGAAACTGTTCAAGACTTTTCTTAATTCTTGTCTGACAATATTAACAAAATCTATAAGAATTGATTTTTGGCATATTTCAGTTTTTGGGATTTTTTTTTCTATCTCAAAATGTTCCTCTTGTTCTGAAGGTAATGCAGCAATATTTTCTTCAATCATTGCAAGGAGCTGTAGTTTAGTTTTGTTTTCGTCTATGCAAAGTTCGTTTTCTTCTATTGTAGCTTTTGGATTTTTTGATATTTTTAACGGACTCAAATATTTGCCAATCTTAATAAAATCATTTATGATGATATCCATAAGTCAATAGGACAGCAACCAAACGATAAACATACCTCTTAGGTATATTTTTGGATAAAATTAGCAACAGACGGACTTCATCGATGGACAGAAGTATACAAAATATGTTAAAGTTATTTACCGTCACCGCTTTTTATAACACAATTTTTTGAGAATACTGAATATGATGTACTTACTTTTAGATCAGGTCCTGATAATAAGTTTACACATCCAGTGCAGATAAGTCTGCGTCTGTCGTTACATCCATATTGCCGGGCAGCCTGTAACGCCACAACGGGAACATGATTGAAATAAAGCAGTGTTTCAGTGCCATGTTCTTCGTGTTTTTCGAAGCAGCAATGTTTTGAAATGGCATTATACAAGATACAAAAAATCCAAGAGCATATATACTAGTATAGAGAGGCGTGTAACCTATTCCTTCAAACCGTTTTGACAGGTTTGAAAGAGCTCAAATGATTTTTATATTGGACAGTGGTCAGTTCATTGGAAATTTCATTGTTCCACGTGAAATTAATGCACAGGTACAATGCATAACAATGGTCAAAACCTGTTCAACTACTTTTACAAGGCGAAAAAGAAAGTTGAAT